TTTATTGATCAAATAAATAAAGAATGTTTGTGAATATCTCTTTAACATTGACAACGTTTGATCAGGCATTTGTGAATCCATTTTGTATTTGTTGACCAAAAACGCGCTTGTGGATCTCAAATCTCTGCTTGTACATAATTATGAGACACATCTCTGCCCATAGTGAATTTACATATACAGAGTAAAGGTTGAATATATATACTAAGCTACATCAAACACATGTATCTGGTTTCTATGTGTTATCAGTGGGCAGATTGGACATGCTGATGAAAGCAGAGTGAAGTCAACACACTGGGATAATAACACGTTTTCATTGATGTTTCATTAAGAAATACCACAAGAAAGAAGAAGAACTGTAGGAATAAAATAACTTCTGTCTTTATTTCTTCTCCTTTTATAGGGAGGACTTCTGGCCCCATGAACCTGATCCTTTCTCCAGCAGGTATTCACTTCTTCTGATTGTTATCAGGGAAACCTGAATGAGTTGTTTTTCTACTTTATTAAACAGGAATACTTTTACATTCAATTTTGACTTTCAAAATGAAGATTTGGTCTTTAAAAAAACAAGAATTAGGAAATGGAATATAACAAGTAATTTATTAATCAATTTGTAATTCCCTCTTTAAATAATCCAAGTCCAGTTTACATTCAAAGGCTGGATTTTAATCTGTATATTTTGGTGCTGTTTCATTGATTTATTGATCAAATAAATAAAGAATGTTTGTGAATATCTCTTTAACATTGACAACGTTTGATCAGGCATTTGTGAATCCATTTTGTATTTGTTGACCAAAAACGCGCTTGTGGATCTCAAATCTCTGCTTGTACATAATTATGAGACACATCTCTGCCCATAGTGAAAGTACATATATAGAGTAAAGGTTGAATATATATACTAAGCTTCATCAAACACATGTATCTGGTTTCTATGTGTTATCAGTGGGCAGATTGGACATGCTGATGAAAGCAGAGTGAAGTCAACACACTGGGATAATAACACGTTTTCATTGATGTTTAATTAAGAAATACCACAAGAAAGAAGAAGAACTGTAGGAATAAAATAACTTCTGTCATTATTTCTTCTCCTTTTACAGGCACCACCACTTTCACCATGATCCTTTCTCCTCCAGGTATTCACTTCTTCTGATTGTTATCAGGGAAACCTGAATGAGTTGTTTTTCTACTTTATTAAACAGGAATACTTTTACATTCAATTTTGACTTTCAAAATGAAGATTTGGTCTTCAAAAAAACAAGAATTAGGAAAATGGAAAATAACGAGTAATTTTATTAATCAATTTGTAATTCCCTCTTTAAATAATCCAAGTCTAGTTTTATTTATTGATCAAATAAATAAAGAATGTTCACAATTAAAAACCAGTAATAGAAGATTATGTATATATAAGAGTTAAACTCTGAATTTTAACAGGTGAATTATGGGCTTAAATTAGTCTCACAATAATCTGTGTGAACATATGTGATTTGTAAATGTAAAACACCACAAATGCATTTTAAAGATTTGCAAACTCACTAATAAATGTGCAAATGCAAAACGGATCTGCAAATACGCAAAAATATTTTCACAAATAAACAAAAGGAATTTGTGAATATCTCTTTAACATTGACAACGTTTGATCAGGCATTTGTGAATCCATTTTGTATTTGTCGACCAAAAACGCGCTTGTGGATCTCAAATCTCTGCTTGATCATAATTATGAGATACATCTCTGCCCATAGTGAAAGTACATACAGAGTAAAGGTTGAATATATACATTATAAGCTACATCAAACACATGTATCTGGTTTCTATGTGTTATCAGTGGGCAGATTGGACATGCTGATGAAAGCAGAGTGAAGTCAACACACTGGGATAATAACACGTTTTCATTGATGTTTCATTAAGAAATACCACAAGAAAGAAGAAGAACTGTAGGAATAAAATAACTTCTGTCTTTATTTATTCTCCTTTTATAGGGGGGACTTCTGGCCCCATGAACCTGGAACTCACATCTTCTGCAGGTATTCACTTCTCCTGATTGTTATCAGGGAAACCTGAATGAGTGGTTTTTCTACATTATTAAACAGGAATACTTTTACATTCAATTTTGACTTTCAAAAAGAAGATCTGGTCTTTAACCTGTTAAGCCCGAGAGACCCCGGTACCGGGGCACTGCCGCAACATCTTGCAGGAAACAGTGTCTGAGGGCATGTTCATTTAATAAAACTATGAATGTTTTATATCCATGTAACGGGAAGAAACTCATCTAACTGATCATTTTTATTTTTTTTTCAAAATAAAACCCACAATGCTAACACTGAGCCTCTAAATTAGCAACGAGCGAAAAATGCTAACACCTTACTGCACCGAAAATCACTCACAAAACCTTATTATTTATCTTTTCACCACATCCAACACATCGTTTCACATCGTGAGGTGACACAGAATCGATTGACACCGACATTGCCACTGAATTATACGTATTTGCGACGTTATAAGCAAAAACGGACATCAAAACAGGTGACGCTAGGTAGCTAAAAATGCTAACATTTTACCTTGGCTCTGTAGTCTCTCCAAAGTGGTCTTCAATGGCATTAAAACGATAAAAACGCTGCTGAAGTTAATCCATAGGTTAATCCAATGTGTCTGTGTCCCTTTTAAATGATTTCTGATAATCCATAAGCATTAAAACTGCTTTTCCGTTTCCAGATGTCAAAGCTAGAGATAGGTCCACTCTGATGCAAAATTACATGCGCGAAGCCCCCACCTCTTCTCTTCACGTGTGTGATTCTATTGGCTCTAACGGTCAGAAAGAGGTGTCAACCATCAAAATCGAGCAAGGGGGGCCAGAGATATGGAAAATCCACCCAAATGACCCCAGAAGTGGTTTCTTTTTGCTAAATCTCTCTAAAAAGGTCAAATGTCACTTGTTTTTGCATCAATCTTGATACAGGGTACTTATTATATGTTGTACTTTGGATTCCTAAAGCTTTTAGTCTACTAACCCATCATCCAAGGGTGGTTTTCACTATAAGTAAACAATTATTTTTGGACGGACACTATAATTTACAGTTTTTTACTATGTAAAATCTGAATTTTCTTTAAAATAAAAAACATCTATATTGATTCTGACTCTTCTACATCCAACTCACAGGTTTATCATTACTTTGAGAAAAAAGATTATTAATTTAACCCTTTTAGAAGGGAAGATATGGTCATTTGTTCTGGGAATGTCATTTTCGAGCCTGAGACCTGAAAAACAGGCTCAGGGCTTAACAGGTTAAAAAAACAAGAATTAGGAAATGGAATATAACAAGTAATTTAGTTGGAATGCTGTTAACAGCATTTCAACTATATGTTATGCTACGGACAAAAAGTGTATTATTCCGCCCGCTTATTTTGGCCCTCTTCTTCTCCCGCATTCAACATCGCAGAAACTCCGTTCAAACATCAAAACGTTCAGCTCGGTCGGGAATCGATGGCTATTACTTTTATCATTCATAACTTTCATAATTCCAGAGATACATCCCATTTTTAACCATTGAAGTCAATGGAGAAATTCTTCAGATTTCAACAAATCTTCATGCGACTTCAACTGCTAACTGTTCATTCATACTTTCACTCAGAAACCTCATTCCAACTTTAAAATGTTACACATCTTTCTGACATTATTCGTGTAATACAACTTTTAAATCTGATTCTTACTTTTAGAGATATTAAACATTGTTCAGACCTTGGTAAAGAGGTTTTCTTCAGGTTTTAACATTAACTAGAGTGCGTGATGTCACAGCTAGAGGGTAGGAAATCTTGAAATGTGCCTTCATATTCTTTTTTAAAACTGCCACAATTCCCAAACCCTACATTCCTGAGACATCATTTTTCATGACAAACGTAGGAAAACATCTCGTAGCTTGAAAAATGACAAATAATTAAGCAAAATAATTAAACAAAATGCCTCTTGAGGGCATGAAGTCACAAAAACTTTCAACATGCCTCCATTAAAGCCCATTGTAATTTCAGGCTGATATTTCCTTACGGCAGCAGCCGCACACCTTTAGTTAAACTGCCAAAAAGGCCACATTATTAACCCGAAAGTACACAAAAATTACACTTCAGATACTCAACTTCCTTGACATGCTTCACGTTTTGAAATTTCACAGATATCTGTTACAGTTCTTCGACAAAACGTTCACATGTAAGAGGTTTATCTCTCATTCAGAACAATGCAAACCTTTGGTCTCTGCACACCTCGTTAGCTCAACTATAAACACCTGTGTCATGGAACACGATGATGTCATCACTCCAACTGACATGCTCAGAGCAGCAGACTTCAGATAAAGGTTAATGGTCCTGCCCTCAACAGCTCTACGTCAATTATGTGCTTTCATCATCATATGCCGTTCAAGAGAAGAGAGAGGGCGATCAAGAGAAGTGAGAGAGTAATGTAACCTCCTAATGTAATGTATAACTCCTATGAAAATGTTCAAAAAGTGCTCAAACTTCACATGTGTGCTAACAGTCCAGCCGTGAAGACATCTACGGGACAGTTTTCAGATTTCTTCAAATGCCGTTGCCATGGCAACACAATGCTCACCATGAAACACGGTTTTCTCATAAATTCAGTGAAAATGCTCCAAATGCCCCAAAACTTCACAGGTTTGGTAACGATGCAGCCATCAAATCCTTCTCCTCCTCGTCCTCGTCCTCCTCTTCATCCTCGTCCTCCTCCTCCTCCTCCTCCTCCTCCTCATCCTCCTCCTCCTAGTTTAATTACTTAAAATAAATACGTTTTTAAGGTTTTGATGAGTTTAAAAATCATAAATAACAAAGAAACATGTAATGTAACTTCTTCTTTAATCTCTCAGCCCCTCCACAGTACTCCAAAGTGCACCGATGGGTACACACACCCCCATTTGAGAAACACTAGTCCAGCTGACCTCCTTTGTCAAACATGTTTTGCTATGGGAGGACATTTGTAACACCATCTTTTAGGCCTAGGCTCCACGGGAACGAGAACGGGTTGAATCCGCATATTTCTCATGCGTATAGCCCTCTAAGCTCGACGACGCCGTAACGGAACGGTAGAAACGGACCCTGCAAACGACAACGGGTCCAAAGGTGGATAGATCTGGGAACGGAGCGCTCTGGGGGGTCCAACGGGGCCGTGTGGTAGCCTATACGGTCATCCGTTTCTGATAATGATGACGCAATAGCCCCGCCTCTCCCCGCCTCTGCTGCTCACCCCCGCAAAAGTACACTGCACACTGAATTCAGATTATTTATCTTTATCTCGATATGGACATAAACGCGAGTGAAGTCTAATCTGACAGGACGGAGACACGCAGCTCCTCCCGCTGTGATGCAGCGGGAGCAAAACACACACTTCAAGTCAGATCATCACCCTTAGCTATTTTAATTACCTCTCAAACTACCTAAACTAGTTATAAATATGTTTATTTTTACTGTCGGGTCACTCATTACAGGATCAGCTGCTGCATGAGACAGACACTGACGCTGTCAGAAGAGAGGAAAAAGAGACAGGCTCCGTGTATTTTATGATTATATATCATTATATCGTCGTTATTCATTTGTTTTAAAGCTCAATAAATAACAAAGAAGACCTTTGACCGGCACTTTTATAATTTTGTCCGGAAGATTTAAACTTTAACACACGCTGACCGGCGAAAAACTCTGCCCGGTTCCCTCAGCCCCCACCGCGGAGAATAAACAGAAGTGCAGCCATGACAACCATTCTTCTTCGCTGCTTTTGTGGAGGAAGTTGCTGCTTTTGTGGAGGAAGTTACAGCTCCACGTACAGGCTCGGCATATGTACTGCAGCTTTTCCAGCGGAGCTGTCTCGTGTAGCTTGACACAATCCGGTGTATATTGCGTGTGGGCGGAAGCTTTTTGGCGTTTGCGTTTGCGTTACTCCTATGCGTTTTGCCGTATGCGTTCCCGTGGAGCCGGGGCCTTAGTCAGTAAGCTCCTGAACCTTCCACCTGTCTGTCAACGCTCCATCTCTGCAGGATTCAGAAGATGAGTGAAGATCCTCCTGCAAAGAGACGTGAGATCAGGATGTTGAAGTTAAAGGAAGAATATATGGCTTTCAGACGGTAAGAGTCAATGTATATGTCGAGTAGGTCAACAGAACCTTTTGAGCTGAATTGTCTTGAGAGTAAAACTATATCATTTAACACTAATTACTACTTTACTTTTCCTGCATTGTTGATTTATATCTATTTGCCTAGTCCTTGTTATTTATTTAAATGTAAATTCGGTTCGGGTGTTCGGGTGTTTTGTTTGATTTTAAACAAACAAAGTCTTGGCTTTCAGAATATGAATCTTTTATTTCCAAAATCACACAAGAAATACATGTTTGAAGCTTGTAAAGGGAAGATGACAGCTCTCACTCGCACCCTGCTGTTCCTCAGCGCCGCTCCCCCTCCCTCCGGCTGAAGTTATGAATGTACAGATGTAGCACTCCAGATAGGACTCCACTGGGCGGATTCCAACCAAAAACCCAGCGGATCCCAGTGGCTGGGGGCGTTGCCAAATTGCTAGAGGGCGTTGCCAAATTTCCCCATTTGTTCAATTACAGGATTTATACATGAGATGGCGCTTCATTCACAAATACACAAAGACAACTTGGTGTTGTAGAACTTAGTCTGTTTGCAATGTTGCAGCTCTGCAGTTGTGTTTGCTGAATACTGTAGCATTTAATCACTTATTTGTTATGGTTTTCACAAGCTGCTATAACGAAAAAACATCAATATTTTAGATCAAATAAAGTATATCTAATCTTATTATCTTAATTGTAATTCAATAACATATAGTCTTTATATATTAAATAGTCATAATAATGTAAATATGTTTTATGCTCATACTTTTACCTTTACAATAGTTTGCCTTTATTAATCCCCGTGGGGAAATTCAGTAGTTCAAACAGCAACAGGGTGAGAGTGAAAAACAGGATAGCACAGATTCACACAGATTAATACAATCAAAAATAAGATCAGCGATAAAAAAATAAATAATAATAATGAGAAACTATGAAATAAGAAATGAATAAAATTAAAATGTAATTATATCATATATTATAATGTAAGAAACACTCCAGCCTTTTATTTAAACTTGTTTAAAACACATATAGAGAAAAGGTTGAATATATATACTAAGCTGCATCAAACACATGTATCTGGTTTCTATGTGTTATCAGTGGGCAGATTGGACATGCTGATGAAAGCAGAGTGAAGTCAACACACTGGGATAATAACACGTTTTCATTGATGTTTAATTAAGAAATACCACAAGAAAGAAGAAGAACTGTAGGAATAAAATAACTTCTGTCTTTATTTCTTCTCCTTTTATAGGCACCGCCTCTCATCCCTTGAACCTGATCCTAACATCTCCAGGTATTTACTTCTCCTGATTGTTATCAGGGAAACCTGAATGAGTTGTTTTTCTACATTATTAAACAGGAATACTTTTACATTCAATTTTGACTTTCAAAATGAAGATTTGGTCTTTAGAAAAACAAGAATTAGGAAATGGAATATAACAAGGGTTACGTATGGTAACCCTTGTTATATAAACACAGATGAGCCCTCTACTGGACTCTGGGTACTCCCGTCGATCCTATTCATGCAAGCATTCCTTCACTGAGACTTTTTTACTGCTCCATCTCACTGTTTCTGACCGGCTTTCTGGTTAGCAGCCGCTGCGCCTCACTCACCTCTCCCTCGGTCGTAACCGTGGAGAGAAAAGAGGCTTCGGCTGACCGAGCACACCCTGACGCGCTTACCCCGCAGAGGTGTGCTATAACGTGGAGGACTCCCCCCTCCTGCCTTAAAGCAGGGGAAAAAAAGTCCTCCAGCCCCTATTGGCCCATGTGCGCGTCATGTCCCCCGGGGCCGGGGGCCCAGGGAAACGTAAGCGCATTACGTCCGGGGAGGGGGTCAGATGCCCACTGACCCACAGCCCCCCCCTCCCTCCTCACCAGTCCTGTGTTGCCCCAGCAAGCACAGACGATGAAAAGGAGCCAGACATGTCCAAGAGATAAAACTTTATGAAGGGGCCTGGCGTTGACCAAGATGCCGCCGTGCATATGTCCTCCACACTCACGCCGTTAAATAAGGCTGTTGACACAGCCATGGCTCGTGTAGAGTGTGCACGGACCCCCGTGGGGAAGGCTCTCCCCGCCCGTCCGTAGGCATGTGCAATGCACTCGCAGAGCCAGCCTGCCAGGCGTTTCTTGGACAGAGCTTTTCCCGTTACCCCACCCCCGAATCACACAAACAGCTGTTCTGTGAGTCTAAGGGCAGCCGTGCGCTCCACATAACATGCCAGCGCACGCACCGGGCAGAGGAGGTGTAATTTAGCCTCCCTCGCCCCACTATGGGGGGGAAGATTAAAACCCCCCAACTGAATAGCCCTCGACCTGAACGCACTCCTTAGGCTCTTGGGCACAAAGGAGGGGTTCGGTCTGAGTGTCGCCCCGCTCTGGTCACCCCTGGTCATTAAACAACTCGGGTGCACCGATAAAGCGGTCAACTCAGACACCCTTTTGGCTGATGTTAAGGCAAGTAGCAATGCTGTCTTCCACGACAGTGCTTTCAGGGAGGAGAGCTCCAGAGGCTCAAATGGTCCTGTGACCAGAGCCTCGAGCACCAGCGGCAGGTCCCACTGCGGGGCGGAGGTGCGCACCACTGGGCGCAGCCTCCTGACCCCCCGCCAAAAACGCGACATTAGCGGCTGAGAAAAAGCTGACCTGCCGCTAAATCCCTCATGGCAGGACGAGATGGCTGCTGCATACACTTTCACTGTGGAATGAGCAAGCCCTCTGTCCACCAACAACTGTAAGTACGACAAAATAGAACCCAATTCACAAGATAGGGGCTCTATTCCCCGCTCCTCACACCATCGCTGGAATCCCAGCCACTTTGGCCTGTAACAGGCTGTGGTGGATCCCGCTCTAGCTGCCTGGATAGACTGAATAACACTATCAGACAATCCACCCTGTCTCAGCCTGTCCCTCTCAGGAGCCAAGCCTGGAGAGGTTGGTCCAGAGTGGGTAACGCCCCGATTGCACCTGCCTCCTGAGAGATCGCGCCCCAAACTTGGGGGAGCGCCCAGGGCTGGCCCACCTTCATCTGTGTCATCTCTGAGTACCACGGCGCCCTCACGCGATCCGGCGCTACCAGGATGATTGACAGACGTTCTCGCCTCACTCTCCCCAGGAGTGGGAGAATGAGACGCAACGGTGGAAAGGCGTAAAGCAGCTTCTTTGGCCATGGCTTATGTGCAAATCGCTCAGAGCCATGGAGCACCACAGTGCGCAGTGGGTGTTGCGCCGGCTGGCGAACAGATCCACCTCTGCCGTCCCGAACCGGGCCCAGATCCGCTTCACCACCTCCGGGTGAAGCGCCCACTCTCCTGGCAGGGGTCCGCCCCTCGACATTAGAATGTGGAGGGTTCTCAGAGATAACACCACCTCTGCAGCCCATAACCACAATTTCTCCGCTATGGTCAACAAAGCGGCGGAGCGGACTCCGCCCTGCTTGTTGATATATGCCACTGTGGTGCCGTTGTCGCTCCTGACCATTACATGTTTTCCCTGGATTAAGGGTTTGAAATGCTGGAGGACCAACTGCTGTGCCGTGTCTCTGTTAGAGACCAGCGCCCCCCTATAGCTTTCCCCAGGCAGGTTTCTCCCCATGCCGTTCCGGATGCATCTGTGAACACTGTGGACCCCCAGAACCGGAGGTTGCCCCCCACTGAGGGGGGGAGGGTCACCAGACGCCGTTTGTGTCTCTTGAGATCTAAACGAAGGCTGGAGAACCACCTCTGCAGGCGGCGCATATGCAATAACCCAAGCGGGACCACAACGTGAGCCGCCGCCATGAGACCCAAGGTCTGCATGACAGTCAAAGCTGTCACTGTTGCTGTCACCCTGTCGCAGTCTGCAAACTGCCTGCAGCAAGGATGCCTGTCTGCTCTCTGACAGGGTGGCGCGTAGCCTGCCTGCATCGAGCACCACTCCCAAATACAACGCCTGTTGGTGAGGTATTGGGGCGCTCTTTTTCCAATTGATCGCAAAACCCAACTTGGTTAGGTGTAGGATCAATTGGGCTGTATAACACATTGCCCGTTCCCTGGACCTGGACTATGAGGTCGTCCAGATAAAATAAAACTTTCATGCCCCGGCTGTGCAGCGGCTGGAGCGCTACGGCCACACACTTGCTGAACGTGCGCGGGGACAGAGAGTAGCCGAACGGCAGCCTATTGTACTCGTAGGCCACCCCCTGGAAGGCAAAACGCAAATACTTTCTGTGTCCTGGAGCAATCCCGACATGAAAGTGAGCGTCCTTCAGGTCGATGGTTGTAAACCAATCGCCTGGCTGCACCAGTCCCTGTAACTGTTTTATAGTTAAGATCTGGAAAGGTCTGCGTGCAATGTGGAGATTCAGAATGGGCCTGAATTCGCCTGTCTTTTTGGGCACTAGGAAGTACAGGGAATAATGCCCCCCCTCTCTGTCTTGTGTGCGCACAGCAGATACTGCCTGTTTTTGCACCAAGGCCTGAACCTCTGCTGAGAGAAAACCTATCTCCCTTCGGGATGATAGTTTCGCCTCTTTTATGCCTGTGAACGGAGGAGGGATGCTGCAAAACTGGAGTGAATAACCCAGTCTCAGCGTCCTGTCCATCCACTCCGTTAACACGCAGCTGCGTTTCTATTCCCCATAACACTGTGTTAGGGGATGTGCAACCAACTGTGGGGCCCCAGCAATAAAGCTATGGTATTCTCTGGCGACCCGTTCCGCCGCAAACCTTCCCATGAAGGGAAACTCTGCCCATGGGGGGTCGACACGGAAAGGTCCGACTCTCTACTGAGGTCCTTGAACGCGCCGCGGCGCATTCCCGTGGGAACGCGCGCTCCGCCATGATGTTTTCACCCAAACAGTGAAAAACATCAAGCGGAGATTTTACACTTGGCATTAATTGTTTCCTAACCCTGCTACGCCGGCCATAATGTCCCTGTACCCGCATAGCGCGGTTTATCACTCTCACCCACACAGTCACGTAATGTTGACAGTACAGTTTCCCCACTCGCTGCCCAGGTAGCATAAAGGTTGCACTCAAAGGGCCAGTTGTAACTATATAAATATATAATATATATAAAATAATGTATTATATTACATTATTGCCTCTGAATTGGATTATTATCGGATAGGATAATAACTTAGTAATCAACTACGTCTGAAAGCAGAAGTCCAGGGCAAATAATTGCAAGTCTCTTCAGTGCGCATGTCACAAATCATGATGCATTGTGGGACATGTAGTTTATGGGCAACCTGCTTCTGTAAATCGGCATGTAACCGTATAATAAACGTATTATATTCTTTGCAAGCACTTGCGGGGCCGGATTTGGCCCCCGGGCCTTGAGTTTGAGACCCCTGCTTTATTGAGTGTCCCTCTGAACAGCAGGGGGAATATGTCAATCATCTAGATCATGCTTGTGCACGTTAGAAATGTTGTTAGCCGTGTCCATCTACCTCTGTCTTTCAAACGGCATGATTTACCTTAAAGGTAGGTCAGCCATTTTCTATAGATGATGGAGATCAGACACATTTAGACCAGGTTTTCACTTCCTCCTCCTCCTCCTCCTCCTCGTTTAATTACTTTAAGGGGACCTATCATGCAAAATGCACTTTTGTAGGTCTTTTCTACATGAATATGTGTCCCCGGTGTTCCAGGGAACTCACCAAGTGTCAGAAAACACAACCCTCTCTATTTTCCTCCATACCCAAATCTCTAAAAAAGGGGCTGCAACGGATCTGATAAAAACTGATCCAGATTTGAACACTGTCCTGACGTCAGGACGGTGGCGCTACGGCTATTGGGCCAACTCCACCAATCAGGAGGAGACAACCACGGCATTGCCGTTCGAAAGCGCTGGAGATGCTGTAGTACATATGCCAGGCCTGTAGATGGTGCTGTTCTGCCCTTATCTGCCCTTGCACAAACAGAGCAAAACATTTTCAAATTGAGCAAAATGAGGCATGGCTAAAATGCATGATCTGTTTGGTATTTTGAGAAAAAAAAAAAGTATAAATATGCCTTATATAGGTATGGTCCTACACTATATTATTCAAATATAGCATGATAGGTCCACTTTAAAAGAAATATGTTTTTAAGGTTTTGATGAGTTTAAAAATCATAAATAACAAAAGAAACATGTAATGTAACTTCTTCATTAATCTCTCAGCCCCTCCACAGCACTCCAAAGTACTCCGATGGGTACACACACCCCCATTTGAGAAACACTAGTCCAACTGACCTCCTTTGTCAAACATGTTTTGCTATGGGAGGACATTTGTAAAACCATCTTTTAGTCAATAAGTGTTAGGTAGCGTGGAAAGGGCAGGACTCAAATGCAGACTACAAAAAAGGTAAAAAGGTCTAGAAACAAAAAGCGAGCTTTATTTTAAAAAGCTGAACAAAAACATGGCATGAAACACATAGGTAGCACAAAAACTGACCGTGACCAACATGGAGGGAGACAGGAGAGACAAGACAGGAGAGACAGGAAAAACAAACAATGAACCGACCAGGCACACAGGGGAAGACAAGACTAAATACAGAGAGGGGTAATCACAAGACAAGACACAGCTGGGGTAAGGGAGGCAGAAACACAAGGGCAACAGGTGAACACAATCAGACACACCAGGGAAACTAACGACAGGAAGGCAAACACAGGAAGAAGGATCAGAGAAGACACAGGGAGGAAAACATTTAAAAACAAAGGTGGAAAATGAAAACATAAATTCAAAACCGTAACAATAAGCTCCTGAACCTTCCACCTGTCTGTCAACGCTCCATCTCTGCAGGACTGAGGAGAAACGAAAAGATTCTGCTAAGGAACGTGAGATCAGGACGTTGAAGTTAATGGAAGAATATATGGCTTTCAGACGGTAAGAGTCCATGTATATGAAGGTCAACAGAACCTTTTGAGCTGAATTGTCTTAAGAGTAAAACTATATCATTTAACACTACTTTAGATAAACTCTGAACTTTAACAGGTGAATGAACATTTGTGACCCGCTCTATCGAAATCAGTCGGAAGTCGCAACGGCTCATTTCAAAATAAACGTGGATTTGTGTAAAAATCTAGTTTTTCGGGGTTCGGGTGTTTTGTTTGATTTTAAACAAAGAAAGTCTTGGCTTTCAGAATATGAAACAATTATCAATTTATTTCCAAAATCACACGATAAATACATGTTTGAAGCTTGTAAAGGGAAGATGACGGCTCTCACTCGCACCCTGCTCTTCCTCAGCGCAGCTCCCCCTCCCTCCGCTGACATTATGAATGTAAGGCGTATAGTAATCATAGATAACACGGCAGGGTCCGTTACAGTTTGTTTTCATCTGATTTCAATTAAACAAAGTCTTGGCTTTCAGAATATTAAACTTGTTTCGTCAAATTCAGATGATAAATACAACTTTGAAGCTTGTGACGGCATAATTACAAGCGGAGAACGGTATAACTTGACGTCACAGCAGGCATAACAACAGCCGGTGTTTCTCGTGAGTGTTTACACAAACACAATATGCACTTACGCAAAAATACACAAACACACACAGACATACACACACACACACACACACACACACACACACACACACACACCACACACACACACACACACACACACACACACACACACACACACACACACACACACGAATATGTTCCCTCCGTAGTATTTTGATAATTTGCTCCGCTAATACTCAATCAGATCGATGGATTCCAGAGAAGAGGAAACTTGAAGGCCTTTTTCTCAAAGTGATGACTCGGTAACAGTCATTATATAATGTGACATGTTGCTTAATATTTGGAGTACAAAAACAATCCTGATATCATTAGAAAGCTAGGAATCTCCTCTTTCCAACAGTGTATACAACTCAAAATGTGTCTTCGGGTCAATGCGACCCAGATTTCGATGGAGCAGGTCACATATAGAGTAAAGGTTGAATATATATACTAAGCTACATCAAACACATGTATCTGGTTTCTATGTGTTATCAGTGGGCAGATTGGACATGCTGATGAAAGCAGAGTGCAGTCAACACACTGGGATAATAACACGTTTTCATTGATGTTTCATTAAGAAATACCACAAGAAAGAAGAAGAACTGTAGGAATAAAATAACTTCTGTCTTTATTTATTCTCCTTTTATAGGCAGATCGTCTCGCCCCTTGAACCTGATCCTAACATCTCCAGGTATTCACTTCTCCTGATTGTTATCAGGGAAACCTGAATGAGTTGTTTTTCTACTTTATTAAACAGGAATACTTTTACATTCAGTTTTGACTTTCAAAATGAAGATTTGGTCTTTAAAAAAACAAGAATTAGGAAATGGAATATAACAAGTAATTTATTAATCAATTTGTAATTCCCTCTTTAAATAATCCAAGTCCAGTTCACATTCAAAGGCTGGATTTTAATCTGTATATTTTGGTGCTGTTTCATTGATTTATTGATAAAATAAATAAAGAATGTTCACAATTAAAAACCAGTAATAGTTATAGTATTATTTATATGTGTGTCTGTGATGTTATACTGAATGTAAAGTAACTGTGTGTGTGTGTGTGTGTGTGTGTGTGTGTGTGTGTGTGTGTGTGTGTGTGTGTGTGTGTGTGTGTGTGTGTGTGTGTGTGTGTGTGTGTGTGTGTGTGTGTGTGTGTGTGTGTGTGTGTGTGTGTGTGTGTGTGTGTGTGTGTGTGTGTGTGTGTGTGTGTGTGTGTGTGTGTGTGTGTGTGTGTGTGTGTGTGTGTGTGTGTCCTGCCCCACCTCCCAAACGTTCTTGTTAGTTGTGCTTAAGCCACTTGAACTTTATTTCAATGAACTTAGTAGTAATTATTTTCCTACATTTTAATTTATTTTACAGTGAGGTTCCACAGCCGCCTGAACCTCCAGCTGTGCCTTTCACCTGTCTGTCAACGCTCCATCTCTGCAGGACTGAGGAGAAGAGAGAAGATCCTGCAAAGAGACGTGAGATCATGGAGTCAATGGAAGAATCTATTGCTTTCATACGGTAAGAGTCCATGTATATGAAGGTCAACAGAACCTTTTGATCTGAATTGTCTTGAGAGTAAAACTATATAATTTAACACTACTTTACTTTGCCTGCATTGTTGATTTATATCTATTTGCCTAGTCCTTATTCTTTATTTAAATGTGATGCGATTTTTCTTCAGATTATGGAAATATATAGAATAGTAATAGTATGAATCATAAAAACCTAAAATGACATGAGATAAACTCTGAACTTTAACAGGTGAATGAACATTTGTGACCCGCTCTATCGAAATCAGTCGGAAGTCGCAACGGCTCATTTCAAAATAAACGTGGATTTGTGTAAAAAAACGAGTTTTTCGGGGTTCAGTTTTTTGTTTGATTTTAAACAAACAAAGTCTTGGCTTTCAGAATATGAAACTTTTATTTCCAAAATCACACGATAAATACATGTTTGAAGCTTGTAAAGGGAAGATGACAGCTCTCACTCGCAGTGTTAATTTCGTCAACGAAAACTATGACGAAAAATGTTCGTCAACGACCTTTTTTACATGACTAAGACGAGACGATGACGAGCTAAAAATAGATTCTTGATTACGAAAACTTTGACGAAATGTATATTTAGTTTTCGTTGACGAGACGAGATGGGACTAAGGTGTTAATGGTGGACTATCGGACATTCAAAATGCAGGGTTTTTCCCCCCAAGTGTCCGTCTCTGTCAAAATGCATCTTACGTTTCTAACTTGCAATATCATTATTTCCGCTCTCTTCACTCCAGTAGAGCGATCTCCCTGTCTCTCTGCGCGGGGCCGGGGCCTCACTCTCTCTCTGTGTGCGGGGGGCGGGGCCTAACAGACACGCTGCAGCGGCATACAGAGATCTGCCGGGGACGGAGCGTTCAGAAGTATAAAGACACTCTACAAGCCTTGATGTGGACAAAGCTCGTTTGCCATTAGTGTTTTCGCGTTAGCGCGTTGACACGAGTAGAGCAGTCTGTCCAAACAGCCGGCCAAAAGGCGTCATATTCAGTCGGAGAAATGCACAATTTTCGACTTCCTTAACTCGTAGCTCTGTTGCCCCAATTACGAGTAACGTTATCACATCAGGTGTGCAGAGGTGGGAGAAAGTACTCAGATCTTGTAGTTAAGTAAAAAAATACCATAGTGTAGGAAGAGTTCCTCAAGTAAAAGTATTCTCATCAAAATATAGTGAAAGTAGCGACAGTAAAAGTAGTCATTGTGCAGATTGGTCCATTTCAGAATAATATATATGATATGTTTTATAATGATTGATCATTAAAGTGTTCTCAAAGCTGGTAAAGGTGCAGCTAGTTTGAATGACTTTGTATACTGCAGGGTAGCTTGTGAATTTACTCCAGGTGGAACTAAAGTCTGATTTAACACTTGATTATATTTCACATCATTCATCCACATCTGTGAAGTAACTAAATGTATTGCATACATGTAGTGGAGTAGAAGTACACAGTAGCAACACATTTAAATACTCCAGTAAAGTACAAGTACCTCAACATTTTACTCAAGTACAGTAGCCTACAATATAATAACATAATTATATATATTTCATTTATTTGACATTTAAATAAAGCAATTAATTCGGTTAACAATTTGTTAGTTTTTCCCTTTAAAAAATAACAAAAAGTAAATACAATTAAAACTGCGGTCACAGACGTGCACGCAGTTGTGGGCGGGCCTTCGCCTCCGAGCGCCCGCAGGGGAGTGTCGCCGGTCGTCCCGGCGTCCGGCGGCAGCGCGCGAGTCCGCCGAAATGAGCCGTTCGTCAAACGTTTGCGGCCCGGAGTCCCAGGTCCTCCGGCAGCGACCCGGAAACGGATGTGGGCGCGCCGCCTGGAAGGAAACGGAATTTCCGTAAAGGCTCGTCGAGGATCGATTATGGCCGAGGCTGTCTGGAGGAGCAGTAACCGTGACGCGTGGTGCAGTGGGTTGTGCAGACTTTCTGGCCTTTACCGTTTATTTACTCAAGAAACGCATCTCCTCTGGATATTAGGCCATGTATATTTTTAATACAACTGCTTTAATTGTGAGCCGACATTTACAGCGACAACAGCTGCCGAGGCCAGTGCGGAAAGCAGAAGAGTGCGTATAATATATATCACTCAGTAATATAAGTAACAGGCCGACATGACACACTGTATTTGTATGCTTTAGTAGACATCTCCAAATAAACAGTTGATATTTTGCATGAAACCAAATAGTGTAAATGGTCAAAAATGGTATCTTCTCTGTTAGCTTACGACCGCCCCGATTGAGCTAGCAACTACTTCATTCCCAATTCAGCATGATGTTGGATATGGGCATAATTTGTCCTTGACTGGAATTTGTCCGATCATTTCCCTAAGAGCAGTGTGCAAAAATGTGCAGAAAATGCATGAAAAACGGCCATCTTTCCAAATTGCCATTTTTCTGGGGGGCGGGGCTAATGAAACGGCTTTTGAAAAATGTGTGCCATGATAATAGCAATGTGTATACAGCGTGTCATGAATATGGGGAAAACTATATGCGATGAGTGACTAAGCCCTAACCCTAACCCTAACCCTCGTCAAAAATGGCACATTCTCCGTTAGCTTACGTCCACCCCGATTGAGCTAGCAACTATTCATTCGCAATTTAGCATCACATTGGATATGGGCTCAACTGGTCCTGGAGTGGAATTTTTACGATAATTTCCCCAAGAGCAGTGTGCAAAAATGTGCAGAAAATGCATGAAAAACGGCCATCTTTCCAAATTGCCATTTTTCTGGGGGGCGGGGCTAATGAAACGGCTTTTGAAAAATGTGTGCCATGATAATAGCAATGTGTATACAGCGTGTCATGAATATGGGGAAAACTGTATGCGATGAGTGACTAACCCCTAACCCTAACCCTAACCCTAACCCTAACCCTAACCCTAACCCTAACCCTCGTCAAAAATGGTACATTCTCTGTTCGTTTACGACCGCTCCGATTGAGTTAGCAACTTTTTATTCCCAATTTAGCATGGCTGTGGATATGGGCTCAACTGGTCCTGGAGTGGAATTTTTACGATAATTTCCCCAAGAGCAGTGTGCATAAATGTGCAGAAAATGCATGAAAAACGGCCATCTTTCCAAATTGCCATTTTTCTGGGGGGCGGGGCTAATGAAAAGCAATTTGAAATATGTGTGCAATCATAAGAGCAATGTGTATACAGCGTGTGGTGAATATCGGGAAAACTATATGCGAGTAGTTTGGAGTAACCCCTAACCCTAACCCTAACCCTAATCCTCGTCAAAAATGGTACATTCTCTGTTAGCTAACGTCCGCCCCGATTGAGCTAGCAACTATTTTATTCGCCATTTAGCATGATGTTGGATATGGGCTGAACGTGTCCTGGACTGGAATTTTCCCGATCATTTCCCTAGGAGGTGTGAGCAAAAATGTGATTAAAATGCATGAATAACGGCCACTTCTCAAAATGGGCGACTTTCTGGGGGGCGGGGCTAATGGAAGCCATTTGGAAATATGTCCGCAATTCCATGAGGAACGTCTGTGCCAACATTCGCGTAGTTGGGAGAAACTATATGTGAATACCGCACAATAGGGGGCGCTACTGAGCTGATTTCACCAAACGCACGATTTTATTGTACATTCTGGAAAAGGTGGTGGGCGGTGACGGGTGTCCCAAGTTTCACGTCCGAAGCTCATTTTAGCGAATTTGTGCCATTGAAATCGTCGAATATGGCACATTCTCCGTTAGCTTACGAGCACCCCGTTTGAGCGGTCGACTATTCATACGCAATTTAGCATCACATTGGATATGGGCTGAACTTGTGCTGGAATTGAATTTTTCCGATCATTTCCCTAGGAGGAGTTCCCAAAAACGCGCTTAAAACGCACATTTTCCAAAATGGCCGAGTTTTTGGGGGGAGGGGCTAATGGAAGCCATTTTGAAATATATCCGCAATTCCATGAGGAACGTCTGTGCCAACATTCGGGTAGTTGGGAGAAACTATATGTGAATACCGCACAATAGGGGGCACTACTGAGCTGATTTCACAAAACGCACAATTTTATTGTACAGTCTGGAAAAGGTCGTGGGCGGTGACGTGTGTCCCAAGTTTCACGTCCGAAGCTCATTTTAGGGAATTTGTGCCATTGAAATCGTCGAAAATGGCACATTCTCCGTTAGCTTACGAGCACCCCGTTTGAGCGGTCGACTATTCATACGCAATTTAGCATCACATTGGATATGGGCTGAACTTCTGCTGGAATTGAATTTTTCCGATCATTTCCCTAGGAGGAGTTCGCAAAAACGCGCTTAAAACGCACATTTTCCAAAATGGCCGACTTTTTGGGGGGAGGGGCTAATGGAAGCCATTTTGAAATATGTCGACAATTCCATGAGGCATGTCTGCGCCAAGACTCGGGTCGCTGGGAGAAACTATATGTGACTACCGCACAATAGGGGGCGCTACTGAGCTGATTTCACAAAACGCACGATTTTATTGTACATTCTGGAAAAGGTCCTGGGCTGTGACGTCTGTCCCAAGTTTCACGTCCGAAGGTCATTTTAGCGAATTTGTGCTATTTAAAACGTCGAACATGCCACATTCTCCGTTCGCTTACGAGCACCCCGTGTGTGCGGTCGACAATCCGCTTCTGAATTTAGCATCACATTGGATATGGGCTGAACTTGTGCTGGATTGGAATTTTTCCGGTCATTTCCCAACGACAATAGTTTGCAAAAGCGCCTAAAACGCACATTTTCCAAAATGGCCGACTTTATGGGGGGAGGGGCTAATGGAAGCCATTTTGAAATATGTTGGCAATTCCATGAGGCATGTCTGTGCCAAGACTCGGGTCGCTCAAAGAAACTATATGTCACTACCGCACAATAGGGGGCGCTACTGAGCCGTATTTGCAAAAACGCACGATGTTTTTGGACAGTCTGGAGGAGGCCGTGGGCCGTGACGTGTGTTCCGAGTTTAAAGGCCGTAACTGTATTTTCCCGCTACTTATGGG